CAAAAATGGGAAAACACAAAACTGGAAAAGAACAAAACTGGGAAAAAACGAAACTGGAATAAAAACAAAACTGGGGGAAAAACAAAACTGGGAAAATAAAAACTGGGAAAAAAGGAAAACGGGAAAAGAACAATACTGGGGGAAAAATCTGGGAAAAATTTTAAAAATCAGGGAAAAAAAACTGGGGGAAACAAAAAAACTGGGAAAAAATAAAACTGGGGAAAAAAAACCTGGGGAAAAGAAAACCTTGGGAAAAAACAAAACTGGAAAAAATACCTGGGGGGAAAAAATAACCAGGGAAAAAACAAAACAAGGGAAAAAAACCTGGAGATTATCACCCTGAGAGGCTGAGGAGGAGGAGGAAGATCCCGGAGATTCCCGGTGGGATAACGGCTGGAAAATCCCAAACTTTTTATGGGAATTCCGGGATTTTACCCCTCTCAGAGGGTGGGGAGGGTCCAGGATGGAATTCCCGGAGAAACTGAGGCAGATCCGTCCCTGGAAGGGTCCGAGGGTTGGAAATCCCTTTTGTGTCCCACAAATCTCCCACCCCAAAATCCCTTTAGGGCCACCAGGGTGACAAAAGGGACCCTGCGGGGCCATCCCAAATCCCGGGGGGTGCGGGATGAGCTCGGCTCGTTTAAAAGTTTCTAAAAATACCCCAAAATTCCTTTCTTGATTTAAAAAAAAAAAAAAAAATACAACCCTTGAAAGAGCAGCTGCCGATAATCGCGGCTGCGATCTGCGTTTGGAGCGCTGCCCACAGCCCGCGGCTCCGGGAGGAGCGGGGAAAGGGGAAAAATTAAAAAAAAATTAAAAAAAAATCCCATTATCGGCCTGGATTTTGGGGCGGGGTTGGAGAAATCGGGATTTCCTTGGGGTGTTGGCTCTGGAATGGGATTTTTGGTGACCCCACAGAGGTTTTTTTGGGGATGGGTGAGCCAGGGATGGGATGGGGATCTTGAGGAATTTTTCAGGATCAGTTTGGGGTGTCCCAATCCCATTTTGGGGGAAATTTTGGACGGATTTGAAGAAATCAATCCTTGAGTGACTGTTCTGGAATGGGGTTTTTGGTGACCCCACAGAGGTTTTTTGGAATGGGTGAAGCAGGGCTGGGATGGGGATCATGAGGAATTTTGCGGGGCCAATTTGGGGTGTCCCAATCCCATTTTGGGGGAGGTTTTGGGCGGATTTGAAGCAATCAACCCTTGGGTGACTGCTCTGAAATGGGGTTTTTGGTGATCCCACAGAATTTTTTTTGGGATGGGTAAATCAGGGCTGAGATGGGGCTGTGGATCATGAGGAGCTTTGCGGGGTCAGCTTGGGGTGTCCCAAACCTGCTTTAGGGGAAGTTTGGGGCAAATTTGAAGAAACCAACCCTTGGGTGACTGTTCTGAAATGGAATTTTTGGTGACCCCACAGAATTTTTTTGGGATGGGTGAACCAGGGTTGAGATGGGGATCCTGAGGAGTTTTGTTGGCTCAGTTTGGGGTAACCCAAACTCATTTTAGGAGAAGTTTGGGGCAGATTTGAAGAAATCAACCCTTTG